TTGTGTATATACTTACTTTCCCATCGAATTGGTCCAAACTACAAGTGTTGCCGTGCGAAGAATGAGAAAGTTATAAAATTCCGGGTCAGAGATTATGTTTAGCAATTTTCAACATGGCCGTCTCCTAAAAGAAGTGCAAGATGTAGGGAAGAATGGTATGCACGCTTTCTCTGTTTATTTTGTTCGTCTTGGTGTGTTAATGGTTGACAAAGTACTCAGGTGTACAGGATTTACTTTCGTAATGAACACTTGGCAAAGATACTGGAACTGCATGATACACAAGTCTTTGTTTTGACCGATTAATCTTGAAACGAACTTGCCTCCAGTGAGCAGCTAAACTGTAATATTTTGACAGTTCTTAGATCAATATGTCGTCAAATGTCGAACATTGCTGAAATGATTGAAATGTACTCATGTTTGTATATTCTTTGCTGTAAATGAACAGAATGAGGAAGGTACGTTCTCAGATCATGACTGATACCCTATGAATTGTAAGAAATTTAACATGATCGAATGCAGAGGTGTAGATTATATTTATCATGTATAGAACTTGTCATATGTATTTTCCTAAAAAAGTTCCTATCTTATTTCAGATGTTTGTTTACTATATGAACACTGATCTCCAATGATATTGTGTCTTTTATGAACCTGGTGTTTTTTCAATTTTACAATATGCTTTTGACCTCTGAGGCTCTGTGATGCATTATTATTAATGTCTTTTTAACTCTCAGAACATATACAATAACATGTTCAAATAATCTCTGTAGATACAACATTTGATGTATGTAATGGATTGAGTTAATTCACAGATTCTATGAGTAAATCATATCAGTGTAACATTCATTGTCACTAAAACTGTTGCACAATCAACTGGTTGAATGTTTTTTCCTGTTATAAAATCAATGACCATTGCCCTTTTGATATTGGCTATGACACTATTCCATTGATCTAATGAAAGATTGTATCACTTGTGTATTACTTGCAAATTGGGCTAAATTTGTAAACAAGGAATTCCCACTGAGAGGTAATGTACATTCACACCTAATCTCTTCCCCAATCCCTTAGCAAGAGGTTGTTAATCACACCTTCCACTTCTATAGAATGTAATATGTTTGACTAATATCTGCATACACAAGAGACTCCACCACTCCAGTGACAATATTGTTCACATATTATTTTGCTTGTGACAATGGCTATGTTGATTTGCAAGGAGTAGCAGTTTGTTGAAAGGTTCATCAATATGACAGGCATAGTTAATCTGACTTAATCAACAGGGAGTCAGTAAGTGTTTCAGTGAGAAAAACAATAACTTTGTTCCATGAGATATATATTAGCATGAGGATTGATCTATCCTTTATATGATGATGTATTTTGGGCTGGTGGCCTATCTACTGAATACATTTGTCTCTATTACATAGACACTCTGATCAAGTATCACAATTTGTGACAGAAAACTATTTATATCTGGTAGGACAAGAAACTACTGATGTCATTACTATCTCTTAAAACCTGATTTACATCATTGGTTGCTGAATGTAAACCCTTATGCTAATAGTGACATCTGATTTTAGATGGTTAAAATCAAATATTTAAACCAGTTGATTTCTGGAACCTTTAAAATAAATTATGATTTAAATGTGTTTATTTTCGCAAAAATATAAAAATGGATCAGTAAACAAGTGAATCGCTTTTGTTAATACCATTCCATTACACATAATACTTATACAATTAATACATTGATGAAGGTCAAATGTAACAAATGAATAATACGTACCAAACTAGTTGTATATATGATACATATATTTGCAATTTACATTAATTGATTTAATTTGATGAAGATGACACATGCATTGTTTAGGACAGCAACAGCATCTGTCTTAAGTTGCATTGTTTGGTTGCATATTTGAATAAATAGCACCTTGATTTCCCATGGCCACAGGCTGCATAAATATTTTCCTGGTTTACACACTTTCTTTTCTTCTTCTATTGTATCAATATTAGAAATGTGTAAAAGTTGAAATTATTATGATGACTAGGTGACCTTCTACAGGTCAAATCCATCAGCATCACTGCATGAATGTTTGGAATTGGAATCAGGATATCCTTTATTTGCAACTTCATTTCTGTTCCAATTCAGTAAATAAATTATTTTAGAAATTAAGACAGGTATTTGAAATATGGGCTAAAATATCCCAACTTCTTGAATTCTAATGCTCATGGTGACTGCCAACATTCCAATATCAAGAATCAGCATTTACTTGTAAGATCTTTTATCTATGACACCCCAAAATGCTTGATTTGGTATTATATGCAGCATGTATTTTAATGTTCTGTTGAAATATATTAAATATTTTGGTATTTATTCAGGTGGAAGGGGAGGACAAGTTGCGACCAACCATGTCGGCCTTGGCCATACTTTCTTGTCGACCAAATTCGCACCCATTCCAGGAAAGGCACATATCTCTGCATGAAGCCATCAAGATAGGCCGATCAGTGGCCCGGGCTCGACCTGCTGCCAATAATGGAATATTTGATTGTAAAGTACTTTCCAGACACCACGCATTGCTCTTTTATGAAAATGGAAAGGTGAGTTTTATCCCCATTTTATTTGACAGTTATTCTTGTTTATGTGGTGTTGTGGATAGAGCCTCTACCCTGAGGGTGGAACATTGGGGGTTCAAATCCCTGACCATGTCATACCCAAAGATGCTAAAAGATTGTAGTTGCTGTTACCCTGCCTGGCGCATTGCGATAAAACAAGGATTGGTCAGCTCAGAGTCATGCTGTGCCTGAGTGGGGTATCCATGTTATCTCAGTTGGATAGCACTATAAAACCAGAATAATTTTTTACTGGTACAAGCAGCCACACACTCAAATGCATGCACATTGCTATATAAGTAAAGTAACCCCATTTAACCTCACTTTACCTATTGTTTATATGCTAATAACTAACCCCTCACTATGGGATTTTCGGGGACTGTTAGATTGTGTCCCCAAAACACATGCTTGTTGTAAGAGGTGACTAAATGGATCGGGTGGTCATTCCCTTGACTTTGTTGATTGTGGGACAGGTTGCCCCAGAGACGTGGGACAATGCTCATGATATCAGTCACAGGATTGCCTGGTCCAGACTTGACTATTGCAAGTCATGTGAGTGGAATGTTGCTGTGTACGTTGTAACAAACAAAACATAACTGACCCCAATAATAGGCGTTTGTTTGAAGCATCCTCGACTGTCGGTCCCAGTGGGCCATTTGTGTGTCCAAGTCTTGATATGGGAACAATGTATGACTGATAGGTCTGGAGGCACTGTGACAGAATGCATACAGGTTTTCCCTTACAGTCTTTCTTTAGTTCAGTAATTCCAGGGTTAGAAACTAACAGTTTTTGTCCACTAGTCCTTATAATGATAACATATAGCAAAACCCTTAAAATGGACCAATTTCTACTAGTCCTTAGGATACCTTTACTATGGGGCAGTTTGGCAAGGACTACAGGACTAGTGCCAATTTCTAACACTGAATTCTACTGTACAGGTGTAGATACAGTGAATTACATCCCACTCGTCGACACCTCGTTTTGGACAAGTGGTTATGTTTTGGGAAAATTACCAGTCCTTCAAGATTTTCAGTCTCTGGCAAGCAGACAAGTGCCCAGTTTCCACCCTGCATGTTATAGCTAGGATCTGTGTGAAAGAGGTGTCCTTTTACTCCATGTAGTATGATTGCATGACTTCATACTTCCTATTTGACGTGTCACAGTTGTGATGTATTGGTCAGGGAATTCCAGACTCTTTCTAGTCGGGGAAAATCCCTGATGGAAAAGTTTATTATCATAGAAAATCATTCAGATTCTGTCTTTATCATACATGTATCCAATTGCCTATAAAAATAGGAGACTGGGAATGATAAGAAGAAATACAGGCATATATTGTTCAAAAGAATAAAATCATGAATCATGACTGAATTGATCACAGTGTACACAAATATACTTCAACACACAATGTTTTTATTATCAAAATGTTGCAATTGCATCTGTCATGTCTACTGTAAAGGACACATGGCCAAGCATATTTTCTTTTTTAAATATGGGATCCTATGTGGAATAAACACGATAAAAATAAAGCCTTTTATGTTCTTGGTGTGATAAAATTTCATTGGTTCCAATTTAAAGTCCTTTTTACTCCTTTTGATTTTTAATAAGAAATATTCCATGAATAACCATGAGTGTTGAATGATGTTGATATTTACATGTCTATTTATGTAAGACATGTATTGTGCTTGGAACCATGACTTGGTTTAACTGCCATGCACTACAATGTGATTCCTCTGGTATTGATAATGGTTCTTTCCCTCGATGGGTGGTCAGGTAGCCTAGTGATTAAAGCGTTCGCTCATCACGCCGAAGACCTGGGTTCGATTCCCGACATGGGTACAATGTGTGAAGCCCATTTCTGGTGTCCCCCGCCATGGTATTGCTGGAATATTGCTTAAAGCGGCGTAAAACTGTACTCACTCACTCGCTCACTCTTTCCCTGAATCTGTGTCTTTCATGGGCAGTGTTAGGGGACTACTGTAAAGCAAGAGTCATATCAACCTATGTGTATTCCATTTAATGTTTTAGTGAGTCAAACACAAAATAGCCTGAATTGATGTATGATAGAGCATTTAAAGGATGGATGGCTTTTATGGGTTTTTGCAATACCATGAATAGGTGCAAAATTGCTGATGCGGTGTTAGCAATAATCACTCACTCACTCACTGTCCAATCAGATTGGTTTATTCTTTAACAAGTCATGATAACTATTCCACTGTGGGTATTCAAGATATGAAAACAACGCTTTTCCTTGTGTTCCTCACTCAAACAGCTTTCAGATTCCGGATATATGTTCCTATGCTAATTTGACTTTTAATATAGGTTGAATACTGCTAATAGGTGTCTGGTGTAGTGTCATCGATAGGTGTTTGGTGTAGTGTCATCGATAGGTATTTGGTGTAGTGTCATCGATAGGTGTCTGGTGTAGTGTCATCGATAGGTGTCTGGTGTGTCATCAGTATGGTAAGGTGATGTTAGAAGTGTCAATTCTTGCTGTCTGTTGTCAGTCATGTATTAACATGGTAGGGAGACAGAATCTTCAGCTGTTGTATTTCAATATCTGATAGAACCTGTCAGGGCTGTAGACACTACAGTACTCGCCCTGACTGAGGATAATCCACTTATGTGCCACAGGATTAATAAATTGAAACCAAATAGCATTGACTTATTACTATTGACATTATGAAATCTCCCTACAATTGATTAATCAAAATTGTCCCTGAACTTAATATCATGAACTGGTTATGATAAAGTAACTATGGTTTCTACTTGGCCTGGGGGTGGTCGGGTAGCCTAGTGGTTAAAGCGTTCGCTCGTCACGCCGAAGACCCAGGTTCGATTCCCGACATGGGTACAATGTGTGAAGCCCATTTCTGGTGTCCCCTGCCGTGATATTGCTGGAATATTGCTAAAAGCGGCGTAAAACCTCACTCACTCACTCTACTTGGCCTGGCACGGGGAACTCGGGAACTCGGATGAGTCCTTCGTAGGACACGGATACCCATGGAACTACCCCGACCCATGGTTAGTCACGTGATATAGTGTGTAATGACAAAAATTTACAATAAGTCCATGGTTACACTACAAGTCGCTTATGTCAGTGTTAGAACTCTACACTAGCCCGGGGCTAGAACTAATTCCTGTGGGCTAGTACAAATTTCCAAATTTCCCCATAGTTTTAACATTACAAGGGCATTTTATCTTCACTCGGGCGAGTAAAATGTTTTGGTTTAGTTCCAACCCTGTAGAGTTCGCATTCCTGCTGACTTGCATATGTTTGAATAAAGATAAAGCTTCAGTCAACTTCAGTGTGTGCACGATCAGATCGTTTCATATGTGTATCTAAATAGATTTTGCCGGAGCTCGGTAAAACAGTTCCCAATGTGACATTTTGTACTTAACTGTTCAGTGTGTACCTAGGTTATGGGGTTGAGAGTCAAAGGTTTGGGGTTCGATCCCCGGCTGCCTCATACAAAGATGGTACTTGCTGTTACCCTGTCTGGCGCTCGGCATTAAGGGGCTAAAACAAGTCTGGTCGGCTCGGAGTCAGTATACTGTGTCTGAGTGGGGTATTCATGTTAAACTGTGGCATGGTATCTCAGTGGGCTAGCACCATAAAATGGGCATTAGTCTGGACTAGTACAAGCAGCCACTTCCACATACACGTACATGCACATCGCTATATGATATCGGTGCAATAAGTCCAAATACCCACTTACTCATCACAGGACATCATCACCAGGCAGCGGTCGTTAGTTAGTCATGTTGCTATGCTTGAAGAAAACTACCACATGAAATAGAAACATTACGAGTGTTACTTGTTGTAATTTGACTGATTCAGTCAACAGATGGGATACCTTAGATCCTGCAATAAACAGTGCTGTTTCATGTGTGGAAATATATATTAATTGTTTTATAACCTTACACTTTTAGGTTAGTGGTATGGGGAGAGTTAGTGTGTGTTCCACGTTTAATGATCTGTGACCAGTTACTGCAGTAAATCAATTTGTAGATTTAATCATCACGATAGCTGGCCTTAGCAATAACCCTGAAGACGAATGCTGGTGTGATCTGAACCGCCCAGGGCAGGTATCAAGGCAGAGTTTGACGTTTGATGATAAGAGCTGGCATTAGTTGATCCCATGCTGCGTTGATTATCTTAAGCATATTAGTGTCAGTTATTGCACATGGTTTAGGCTTGATTGGAACTCAGCAATCCATGGCTGGTTAATCTTGTTACCTCACAAATCAGGACATTTATTGCTGCAAATAGTTTCTGGGTAATTCATGTGCAGACAAGTTTATAGTCTGCTGGCTAATGTGCCAAGGATTCCGGAATCAGCTTGTCCAAACCTGTGTTCCGTGTATATGTTGTGTATATTGTGATTGCCATTGAACACCTTGGGATTGAAACTAGGCGTTAAATAAATTATTATTATTACTTGTAGTGAGTGTGTGAGTGAGTTTGGTTTTACGCCGCTTTTAGCAATATTCCAGCAATATCACGGCAGGGGACACCAGAAATGGGCTTCACACATTGTACCCATGTCGGGAATCGAACCCGGATCTTCGGCGTGACGAGCGAACGCTTTAACCACTTGGCTACCCCACCACCCCTTATTACTTGTAACTAGACCATCAGTTTGTTCACTATCAAGTTTTATACAACCATAGTTAAAAACGATTGACTTGGCACGCCACCATATTATTGATGGATGTGATACATTTGGCTCGTTTGTAAGAGGTGACTATGCCTATCGTAAGAGTCGACTATCAGGAATGAGTGGTCAGACTTGCTGACTTGGTTGATGCATGTCATCGTATATCAATTGCTTAGATCGATGCTCATGATGTCAATCACTGGACTGTCAAGTCCAGACTCGACTATTACAGACGCCGTCATATAGCTGAAATATTGCTGAGTGCAGCGTTAAACAACAAACAGACTTTAGGTTCTTGGTTCCTCAGAGATGTTGATGGTGAATATAACA